TTGAAAATAAAGATTTGTCTCTTTTCTACATTTAGCTCACTTTTCAGTGTCTTTGAATTGAAAAGAAAAACTTCACCATGAGATAACCACACACTCAACCTACAATACGGAAGGTATCACAAAACCCGGCTCATCGTATGATTTTATCTCATCTCTCATTTTTATGAAGACATGAGACTGAAGTTAATTATGAATAAATATTACTCTTTTTCAATTCTCTTACCCCCCATGTTTTTTTTTCTTTGTAAAAAGTGACACTTGTAGTATCTCACAAAAACACCTTTTTGAAACGTTCTTAACAAAATAAAGATTTCTGCCTCTGCTGTTCAAAAAAATTGTTTTGCAATATGTATGTTTATCAAATCTTTTTAAATGACTAAATTTATAGAAATGTATATTGTTATATTGCGAGGTATGGTTACATCCCTACTGCTGGGCATTTCTTTCAGTGATAGAGTCAGTATCAGTCTCTGGAGAAGCGGTCTGAAGTATAGTCTAATATTTGGCAGAAGGTATCAGGAGTATGCCACTGGATGGACCAATCAAACCACTTAACCAAATGTGTCACAAAAAAATCCCTGCTTTCTGGTAAATCATCAGTCACAATAACAAAGAATAGCTTTGAGGAAGTAATGCTGTTCAAGGAAAAAGTTAGCAATGAGTGTTTTGTCACCTATCATGTAACTTTGTATAGGAGGGGTTCTTGGTTTGGGCAATACTCATATCTATAAATCAGACTCATTATCTGGAAGGAAATAATAGCACTGGAGCATCTCTTCTTGGTTAGTTGGAAGAGGAAGGTGAATGAAGTATTTCAGTTGTTCCTTATACAGAGCTCCTCCTCTTTGAGAGAGGTTGAATGTCGATGCATATCACAGAAATGACAGTTGTGTCCGGTATGGGAAGGAAGCCAGGGATTTATGGGTACATTGACAAATGAGTGATTAATTGGCTGTTGTTCCCAGTCACTCATCACAAGTTCAGTAGTGTGTGGTGTCATGGCTTTAGTATGGTCTGAAAATTCAGGTTGAGTCACGTCAGATATTTTGTCAGTGACGCTCAGTTTATGCACGGTTAACTTTTGCACGTGAAACTTTCCTCTCTTTTTTTTTCTACACCACAACCTTCATTTAAAGGCAGGCATTGTGCAGTGCTACCTGTTTTTCAGGCCCCCCCAACCCCACAGCTCCTCCTTTTTTTGTAGAGTTACCGTTTGTGATTTTTCTAGTCATTCTGCCCCAAGGGATTTTTCCTCTGATTAAAAAAACAAACACTACAGACATGTGCCACATACACAAGATACATGTGAAATTGAGATCACTGATAATGAGGAGGGATGTCACAAAGGAATTTATTGTGAAACTACTGCCAGGGTTGAGGAGGCTGGCAGTCAGACAGCAGAGTTCCCCCGCCCCCAATGCCAGTTCCTCCATGGCCTCCGGTGCCCCGTGTTTACCTCCTGAACCAATACTTTGGATATTCATAACTACATAACTAGATATTTACAAGGTTTTAAAGATGGCTTCTTTGACTACAGTCAATTTTGATGAACTGTGTCCTCATCTATTTTGTGACTATCAATGGGGAACATCAAACTATGTTTTCATCCTCAAATTTCACAGATAAATGAAATCCTGAGGGCCTAGGTTATACTTTAATGCCTTATTTTCCACAATTTCCCAGTTTGGGATCAATAAAGTAATTATATTCTATTATTTGATTCGCAAAATGAGCTGCACATTCTGATCAAACAAGTGAGCCCGGCCATCTTAGCAAAAGTAAAGACATCAGTCAGCAACAGTCCATTAACACATCAACATCAAACCTCGGCACCACAATTTGCCTGCAGCAGGTGTGTACAACCCCAAGATTCCTCATATCCAGCGCACAAGACAGAAAGCAAAAAGAAGAAAGAGGAGGAGGAGGAGGGTAGTGACAGAAGTGGAGGGATGAAAAAGTGAGTTTAAAGGTTGAGCTGCAACAGTCCAGTAAACTGCCTCGGGGATAACGTCGAGCATGTTATCATTGAGAATGTCCTCATTACCTCGAGCATGATCAGAATCTGCCTAAGAAGACTTCACATCAAAAAGATCGTCAATCATGTCGAGAAATATACAAAACACGCCTGTTTACTACATATATAACTTTTTAAAGGACCAAGTCATTGTTTTTTCCCAAAAAGTGCATGACTTTGCAGACAGCCTTTGGTTTCGATTCATTCAACACCGTTGGAAAAAGTATTTGCAGACCAGTGTAACTTGTTTGAGTTGTGTAATCCATCACACAGATTAGATTTTTATTTGTTTCATTATTACAGTGAAGAAATACTGCCTAACGTCTAGTAATAGTTTACTCCGACCAAAATGAATGCAGAATGTCTTTAACGTCGAGGATGGTCTTGACCTGCTCTTTTAGTAAAATGTCCCAAGAGAACCTTTAGGGTTCATTGTAAAATACAATCAATTGATTCAACAACTCAAGAAAGGTTCAGTCGTCTGTTAGTAGATTTTTATACTCTGTTGAAATGAATGAAAATCATCTGGGAGCCTGGAATTGTCGAAGAAATGGTTTGCAGAATAATGAACTGTGATGTAAAGTCTTTGACTAAACTTGTATGGCCCTTTAAACTTGTATGGCCCTTTAAACGAGTATGGCCCTTTAAAGAAGCTCCCACCAGACGATGGAGTCCACCAATCTTTGACTGAAGAGAGCGAGAGTGTTGTTTTGTGTGATTATGAGGAAGCACAGAACTCTGCCTTCAGTATACAGGATTGTGTCTGTCATTCTGTCATATGCAGAGATCCTGAGATGACCTGTCTGCCTGTCACTGAGACGGGGAGAGGGAATGAATGATGCTTTGTTATTGTAGCCCCGAGTAGCAATTTGTCTAAATAAAGAACCATTTGTTTGCCCTGACATCCGTTCATGCACGTCATTAAGTGAGTACAGTAGATTCCTGAGCTGACCTGCAACACGCAGAACAAAGCGTACCTGTGTTTGCTCAAACATGTGTGATCTGCCAGTTTGTGTGTGTAGTTGAGTTAGTGTACATGAATGTCTCCGAGCAGCACCCATGTTTGCTCTACGGTGTTTGCCTTCATGTGGAAATATTAACATTATTAACAGACTATTGCCATTATACTGGAGAGTTAATGAGCAACTCAGTAAGAAGGGGAAGGTCATGTGTTGAAGTGTAATGCGCACGTTCATTGAAAGAGTTGATGGGAAATCCAGCCAGACATTTGGCTTTGACTCGGAGCCCTGTCACATGCACACGCTCTAATCTACTACATATCTAAATGTATACATCAGGTGTGGTACAGACGTGTAGTCAGCACTCAGGGGAAAAGGCAGCTATAACACACACAGGATGTCAGAGTGGGCTGTAATTCACCGCAGTGTGTTTCGGCTTTGATGTTGAAACTCCCAAGATTAAGGCAGAAACAGAGCCGGTGTGTGTGCTGACACTGAAGAACTGCCTGCAAAGAAAATAACTTACAGCTAGCAACACACACCATGTGCAGACTTCTTCACTTGAAGAATAAGCGCGTGTGTGACAGCAGGCAGACGAACCCCTTAATAAACGTCCTAGGCTGACATTACTCTCTGTTTTTTGTATCGTCCTCCTCAGAGAGAGTTTGAGGAGCTGTAAAGCAATTAGTGAGAGTAGCGGTGTGCGTCCAGAGGCTCGTGTGTGTGTGTGTGTGTGTGTGTGTGTGTGTGTGTGTGTGTGTGTGTGTGTGTGTGTGTGTGTGTGTGTGTGTGTGTGTGTGTGTGTGTGTGTGTGTGTGTGTGTGTGTGTGTGTGTGTGTGTGTGTGTGTGTGTGTGTGTGCGTGCCTTTACAAGCCCACACAGTACCTGCCACAGCTCATTGACGACAAGCACAACACAGGAACAAGGCAGGACAGAAGGTGAGGGGTCAGGAGGGGTAAGTAAAGTAGGGGAGAGAATCAGAGTGACAGTTTCCAGCAGTGACGCCACTATTACTGAACCCTAGCACATGCTGGCAGATTTTTATTTATTTCTTTTTTTTTTGGGGGGGGGGGGGACAGAATACTTGGTGCATCAAAAAAAAAATTCCGTCTCCTCAACATTCTGTAACAACATCTTTGGTATTTTGTTGATTGAGGACTTTGTTGACATGCGCATCACAAAGGATGCTGCAGAAGTCACAGTGATATATTAAAAAAATATTGCGGTCAAAGCAGCCGATTCCTGCTCTATGATGACAGTTTGTGCTTTAATAAATGCTATGTTTTAAAAAGATTAAAAAAGAACGTACTGGTGAGCAGACAAGAGTATAAAGCAGTATACGAGGCTCCCACTGGTGCAGGGTTGCTTGATGTAAACATCAATGCATTTTGGAAAGTGGCTTAACAGTCTTACTTTTTAGTTGTTCTGCTCTGGAAAACCAGCAGGAATATCACTTTGAATTGATTTGCTTCTTTCTAAAAAATAATTAACATTCTCCAATAAACTAAAATAAGTAACAATCAACACTGTAGAGCCTTATGCACACAGGTTACTTGTTCTGAGATGTCTACATTTCTCCCACTTCTGCCACAACCAGACACAGTGAACTCCAGCCTCCCTCCACTCTCTCTTTCCCCTTTTTCCTCAGTCTGTAACCTTACACAGCCTCACTGTATCTATTAAACGCAGTGTGTGTGTGTTAAGAAAGCTGCTCTTGTTCTCCTGCCAGTCTTGTTAAGAGGCTCAGAGTTGTGTGAAAGGACCCTATTGAGGAGGCAGGGTGTTACGGTTAACACAATAAGGACCGCCAACAGCGTGTGGTTTTGGGCTTCCGGATACACATATTCAAAGGAGTGTATTATTATGACATGTGTCAAAATGACTGCACTGCTGATGTCATTTATCTTACAGTCAACAAAAGTCTGATGTTAACACAATGTTTGCATTAGAGTGTTTGGCCACGTCTTCTTCCTAATGACACTGATTACTGATAAATCCTTCAGATTTCATTTCAAGTTTTACTCACCCAGCGGAGAAGCCTCCTCTTCTACTGGCACTCCACTTGTAGCACTTCTTTCCCTGGAAAACACACAGTTGGACCTGTTAGCTACTTATTTGGAATTTAACCTCCTGTCATGCACTGTTAATGGCCCGCAAGCAAAACAGGAAGTGATTTTTTTTTTTCCGGCTGAAGGTTGGATTCCACTGGCACTCTGACGTGCACCTTGGCCCTGGAAAACACACACTTGCACCTGTCAGCTCTTGTTTGGATCAGCCTCCTGGGCAGAGTGTTGTGGCCGCAAGCAAAACAGGAAGTGATTTTTTTTTTTCCGGCTGTTAATTGGTTGGATTCCAGCTGTGTGCGGGAGCGTGCTGAGCGCTGGCAGGCCGTGTGGCAGCAACAAGAGAATGACAGAGCGGGAGAGGAAGAATGCAGGCCGACCACTCTGCACTCTGTCAGCTCCTTGTCCTGTGGTATCAGCCCATCAGCCGTGGGCCGAGAGTGTGTGTGCGTGTGTGTCTGCGCAGAGTTGAGCAAGTGTGTGACAGTTTCTGCTTTATTTGAACCCCTATACTGTATGTTGTAAGGTGTTTAATGCACAGTATTTGGTTTGAACTGACTGATAATGTGAGTTTCACCCCTTAAGGTTATGAATGAGCTGTTACCTCATGTCAGTAAAAACAAAAAGCCACTTTTTCACAAACAAATGACAGTTTTATTTCATTTCCAAGCAGGTTATTTCCAGTTTAGAGTTTTTTAGCCATCTTTTTGATCAGACACCCGATGTCAAAGGCTATTTTTAGGCTATTTATAGTCAAAAACAGCTTTTAAACCAGGAAAAACTGACGACCCCGTTCGTTTGCTTTTCATTGATTAGCTTCTCTTGTGCATGTGTTCATGTGTTCATTGCTTTGCATCAATCCATTATAAACTCACATTAAATTTTATGTTTGAGCCTAGTTATGGGATCGTAATCATGAGTCAGTTTTGGGAAAACCCAACCACAAAGTGACCACTTGATTGGTGTTTCATTAATGGGCAAGTTGGGCCAAGAACGACTTCCAAATTTCTCGGTAATGGCCGTCTACTTTATTACATTTAATGGATTTAAGGCATGTTCATGAAAAGCATTCAGAGATTATTAGCTGAGTGTTTTCTTGCTTTTTCCCCTCTCATTCCTGCAGCGCACACAGGTTTGTAACTATTCACCTTTTCACAGTGAACACACAACACTCACGCTTTCAATGCCAGTATTGTTTTCAAGCCATGTTTCATATACCTGAGTTATGAGTCAAAGAGTCTGTGGAGGTGAAGAACCTCACATGCTTCACCTGATTGTGCAACACCTCAACCTGTTTTCACTTTGTATTTACCATCTCTATACGTCGCCCTGCAGCGACGCACACTCCTTTCCACAAACAGAGCGCTGTGTGTTTACATCTGAAAATAACCTGTCACAGACGCTCGGCCGCTCGGTTTGGCTCGCTGTCCTGCTGTGAGGCCTTCGCAGCACTCTGCATCCATGTGTTTATTTGTCTGTGGAAGTGTTTTTGCTCTGCTGCACGGAGGTTTTGGTGCATGTTGTTATTGTGTGTGCTTACTCAGTACATGTTTTTTTTTTTTTTTTTTTTTTTCTCGTGTTACATTTTTGATCTGCACAGAAAAAAAGCAACAATGCGCTGCTGTGGCAGAGTTACTATAAAGTGTGGGGAATCTCGCTCGCAGACGCTGCGGTCCGTTTGCAGAGGTCACAGTGTCTCCCTCTCAGACAATCCTTTGGTTGCATCGTAAATATTTAGTTTCAAAGTGGAGTTTGAAACTCAGAATAGACACAAGGCATCATTACCGCTGGGCTCCAGGACTGACAGAAAAACTTTTATAAAAGACAAAACTCGCTCATGCGTCCTCTTCCACATCTTTCCATGACACGTTTGGTCTTTAATTTGTACAGACTGCACACTGCCAAATCATTGGTTGCGTCTTTTATCTTTTCTCTTTTCAGTGTTATTGGTTTCGATTTACATTTATTCTCTTTTGAAGGAGATATTTTTGTCATTCCCTTTTTTAGAGGGCCGATACGTTTCAGCCTTTCTCTCCACTATAATTTTCTTTCCTTCTCTGTCTTCATTTCTTTAACATAAATATCACCTCACCCGTCGCCCTCTCTGAATCTCCCTCTGCGTCACTCCCTTTCTCTTCCCCCAATCTGGATTTACCTCAAAGCAGAACAACGCTCTGCAGTCTGCCGTTTATGTTAGATCCACTTTGTAGTGGCATCATTTGAAACATCGAACAATTTGTCAAAATTAAAGTCCCATCAGTAACTAAACCTACAGGGAGGCTGGGTGAGAAAAACAGAATGATGCATCATGTTGTGCTGCAGGTGTGTATTAATATAACACAAAGCTTTTTGCATATTGAATACGCCGTGACAAGCCGTGACTTGTGGCACAGTTGAAAACACTCTGCTGTTGATTGCAGTGTTGAGTGATTAGACCCGGGCTGATATGCATTGGCATTCGGATACACACATGCAGGTATTTGCACGTATACATGCACAGATTTTCTCTCTGGCTGCCTCCTGCTCTTTCACTGTGCATGGAGCAGCAGATAACGACACTATTTGCGTCCTTTGCAGTGACAGAAATAGACTTTAAGCAAAAGGGGACGAGAGAACTCCCAACATCCAGCTCTGAGCGAAACTAAAGAGCGTCTCAGTGTGTACGTGTCGGCTTGTACGCACGATGTGACTGCATGAGTGTGTGAATGTCACTGCTTTCTGTGACAAACAAGGTCTTAGATGGATGCTGACCTTCCACAGATTCACACACTGACCCCTCAGGCACACACACCCCTCACAAGATTGCAAGATTTGCTGGGTCCTCTTATCCTTAAATCCATATTCAGTAAAACATTAAGAGTTAATGTTCAATCAGTGGTTTAATATTTGCCGTATTATCATGGTAGTGTATGTGTGTGTGTGTGTGTGTGTGTGTGTGTGTGTGTGTGTGTGTGTGTGTCTGTGTATTTGTGTGTATGTGTGTGTATGTGTGTGCCCTTGTGTTTCTTTTGCAAGATCTGCTTCAAGGCTCATTTCCTAATTACAGTGCCGGCCAGAGGTAATTACAACCTTAGATTAAGAGCTGTTTCTCTTTTTTTTTACGGCCCCGCTGAAATGCAGCAATTTGTGGTGGCTTTCTGGGATGAGCATCCTCCCTCTCATCCTCTCCCTCTGCCTTGTTTTCCATCTGTCTCCCCCCTCTGCTCCTCTCCTGGAAGAATTCACTGGAGATGGATTTTGGAATTTGTGGGATTTGGGGATTCTTTTGCACATTTAATTGATTGAAACGCTGATTCCTGTTTTTTTTTTTCCCTCTTCAGTTCAGATGATCGTCTGCTTTCGAGGATAGTCCGATCTGACAACAGCGAGCATGTGTGTGTGCGTTTTTGTGTGGATGTGGACACGGGACGACAGCGGCTATTTGGGGTTTGAGCTCAAGCTGGGGCTCTCCAAAGCCCTCAGATCCCTTCACATGTGTGTGTATATTTATGCAAGGTTTTGAAGTGGTTCTTCTGAACGCATCATTTGGCTGCATCGGCAAGCTCTTCTTCAATTTAGCTTGGCAGGCGCACAGGCTGGGGTTCGCCTGTGCATACCGCTGGGTCAGCATTGATGTGTGAGACTGAGGCCTTTGAAGCTGGGGATTTTGTTTAAGACGCCTCTTCCAGAAAGCAGCTCCTTCTCTTGATTGTCAACCAAAGAGCACCCATTTCTCTCAATCTGTGCAGCACCTGAGTATATGAGCCTCTAATTCTAACAGAGGAGAAGAATTTGCACATCTTGAGCTCTCCCTCTCGCTCACACACACACACACACTATACTTGCTAATCATGATGAGCCCCCACTCTCACGTGGCCTCGAGAAAAACAAACACACACACTTCTTCCAACTTTCTGCCCTGTCGACTCCCTTCTCTCCGCCTGCTGTTTGAGTGGCCCCGCTCCTGCCTTCCTCCTTTACCTCTTACTGCTCTTCTCCCTTCCCCAGGCCTCCTCGCCTCGCCACCTGACTTTTAACCCTCTAATCCCTCTGATGCAAAGGGAAAGATGCTTCAGGCTCTGCCTCTAATTGGCATAAAATGGAGCTCTACTTTCAGCCAGTTTGGAGAAAGAAGAGTGGCAACCTTCTGTGTAAAGAAGAGTGTTTTAATAAGTCAGCCTGTGTTAGATGTTGTGCAGATCTTCTATTCCTGTGTCAGCACAACAAGACGAACACAGCTGTCACTCATTGTCAGCTGCACATTTAGACACAAGCGCTCTTTGACACAGATGATGAAATGCCAGCCTCGATTTTGTAAGAAAGTAATAGATAAAAAGTACAGACTGACACAATGTTAGTAACCAAACCCGCGGCACATTGTGCGGTTTTCTACATAACAGTCACAGTGGTCTGTGTTTAATAGTTTCGAATTGAGTTTTATGACAGAGGGCTCATCTTAGTCATGCTTTCCACCCACAGACCGACATTTAAGGGCAAGAAATGTCCTGTGGGGTCACTTCAATCCTCTCACTGTGCATATGAGTCTCACTTCATGCTCACGGCAACATGCACACTCATTTAAAATCAAAGTGCCTCAGATGTATGCAACTAATATTTTGACAATCTTATAAAGATAAAGATTCCCAGAAAGAACCTCATTTATTCCTTCCCTTTCTCCTTTTTGTCTCCCCTCATGCACATCTTTGGGTGTTTCAGCATCAACAAGTGTCTGTACAGGGAGTGAACCTCTGCAGCAGAAAGCTCACTTTGTTGCTAAGCTCCACACATAGAAAAACTGTAAGTGTAACAGTCTGTGCAGCCCAAAAGTTGTCCACATTAGTGACGGATAATTGGCCTCCTGTGGCTGCTCTGCTGTGTCTGCCAGCCTAATACAAACCAATTACAACCATTATGCACCGTCAGTGACACAGTAGCTTCTCCCTTTAGCATAATGACAGCCTGCGAGGAAACACATGGCGAGGAAACAAGCAGAACACCGGTGTAGGGGTTAATAGCGGGGCTATTGTAGCAGTTTACACCACCTGTTTTGCCCCCAGGAGAGATTAGGGTGACTTTCTGTGCCTGTTTGTGGGGGCAGTGTTAAAGATGGTAATCTGGCTGAAAGCTGGAGGGATTGTGGTCAGAAGACTGTTCTTATATGAAGTTAGCATCTCAGACACGCAGAGGTTTTGAAACTGACTGCAGTTCTGATCAATGATTACAAGATGGAAGTCATCAGGGTCCTCAGAGGATTATCCAATGGCCTTAAAAAAATATTTCACTGATATTTTCTTCAGTGTTAATGCAGGAACATGATTTTGACATATTGTTATTTATTTGGGCAGAATAAACTCAACCCTAACTCGCTTTAAAGTGTAAAAGTGTAATATAAATTTAAAGTTTAAATCAAAGTCTACATCAACACAATATTTAAGTAATAAAATGATATAATCTCTCTCGTCTATCTTTACTTTTAGAAGCACAGATTGCAGCGTGTTGAGTCACGTCACTTTATTGGATGCTAGTTTATTGCTGGAGCAGGGCACTCACTCTGAGATTTAATCTTTCAGGAATTTGACCTCATCGTTCAATGCTCTGCTGTCCCGCATGCTGAGGGAAAGGGATGATTCCCTAATTTGTTCTTTGCACCTTTTTCCTTCCATCTGACCCTGTGCTTCATTTATCTGTGTCATGAGCTGCTGTGTCTTCAGGTTAAACATCCAATCATTGAGTTGTTTAACTTTAAATCCAGCTTTGGATTTAAAGTCCACAGTTCAATCAACTATGAAAAGCTTTATTACAACAGTAGATTCTGAAATCTTACAAATGGAAGGGCACAAATTATCCTTAGAACTGAAGCTTGGTGATAATTACAGTATGACAAAGCTGGGTACATTTTTGTCTAGATTATTTGGTTGCCTTGTTTTGGGTTTGAGCGAAACTAAACCAAGTCTCTTTCTATCACTGATAGTCATGCTTGGAATTGGAACTTATCATATCCATCTTAGTTCAAAGCATTCTCAGTGAAAAGTAGTGATCAATCACAAATGCCACAGCAGGCTGTAATCTACAAAAAATTGATTTGAAGGACATCTCCTTCATCTTTCTCTCCAACTAAGATACAAAACTGGATAATCTGGTTTGATCATGTTGCTTAATACCAAATGTTTTGACTGTGCATTGTCTGACTCCAGCGGCCGGTGCGTGTGTCCTGCTGAACTCTCTGTTTTGGACGTTCCCCTGCGTGGGTCCAGAAACAGCTGTCCTCTGCGGTGACCACGGCTTGGTGCGGTCTAGACACTCGGCGCTGCTCCTGCGTGCTGCACGGCGTCCTGCGGTCCAACACCAGCCTCATTACCGCCCCGACGGCTCCCCCTGCTCCGCGCACACGGCTCGCATTTTACGCTTTCCCCAAATACAGATGAGCCGTGTTTTATTGACATTGCTGGCTGATCCGGAGCAGTAGTGGCGACCACGGTGTCAATCAAACCTGTTGCATCAATACGCGTCCATGTTGACTTCTAATTCCGACTACATTTTCTTTACTGTTTTTGACTTTCTTTTAAACTTATTTTTTATATAGTTTAGTCTTATTTATGCCTTAACATGTTATGTTTCATTCAATACATGTATTTTGCAGGATATAAAGTTTTCAGTTAACGCGAAAGAAATAGTAAAAGAAAACGTTTTTTTTATTTGATTTGAATAAGTAGGGGACATACAGTCGATGTGAGGTTTTGGTATACAAGTTTATGATGATTATGTGCAGTTAATCTTCTGTTGCAGAAGTTTATCATATTCCACCTACACGTATTTGTCTGTGCATTTGTCAACACAACCCTGTTTACGCGTTTTTACGCACATCTTGCCCAAAGCGTCACAGTCTGAAAAGTGCGAAATGTTTATCCTTATTTAGTTAGTATAAGCAGCAAACTCTTACCCTGAAGTTCGAGAAGTGAAATGGTGTGCGCTGTCGCGCTTGTGTCTTTATCCAAGCGGAGCAGTTCACCGATATAACTCCAGTCCACGTAGTTTTCTATGTGTGCGCTGCCTCCGCCAAAACAAAAAGTTTCTCTCAACTTATTAAACTTGTAACAAACGGTCTTCATCAAATCCTTGGAGAGCTACACCGTCCTCCACGTCAAGGAATGCGCTCAAGTGCCGACTCCCTGGACAAAAAGTGCTTTATTGGTGTGCACAGAGGAGAGTTTAAGCAGAGGGATGGGAGGGGCGAGGAGAGGCGAGGCGAGGCGCACCGCAGCTGAGCGCGCGCCTGCACAGACCGGAGAGCAGCCAAAAAACTCACCTTGCTGCTTGGCTGATAGAGATCACGCAGCCTCCTTTTCAGTTCTCTAGAAATCTTAACGCCTACCTGCACGACCAGTTTTTAGAAGACACATAACTGCTAACTATTATAATGGTTGCGTCTCATTTGAATGATACTTCTTGATTTATTTATTTTTTCTATGCAGGAAAAATAGCTTGAGCAATGTTTGGAGACACTGACAAATATATGGATTGGACCTGATGCAGAATAATCAGACTGATTACAAAACCTCCACTTTTAATCAATCAGTCAACATTTTTGAATACTTTGCACCACATGAGTGATCTAATGACACTTTACATAAAGAGCAGGTCTAGACCAAACTCTGTCAAACTAAATATCATGTCTAGTAACATTTGTGGTTAAACAATATTTATAATAAATGGAAAAAAAAGGATGCCAAGAAAGATCTTTCCAGGATAGATGTCAATAATTCTTGAATTATTCATTCATTGGCATTGGAGGAGTCTCCACAGCGTACAGTACGTGCAGTGTTTATTTCACATATGGTCGCTTCTTCACAGAGCCGTCTTCCAGACGTAAAAGCTATTGAACACTTCCTAACGCAAGTGACAAACTACCCGCCGGCAGCTGGCAGCCTATTTCAACGTCAGCCGCTCCAAACAAGGTACAGTAAGGTGATATCTCCCAGGAACCGTGTCACCTCCGATGTTTACTTTTAGCCACATGTCACAGATTGAACCAGAACACTGAAGCCTCTTGTGCACACTGCTGGGTTTAACCTGCTTCTGTTCGCTTCACTTGTTGACAAGAATGAATTTTAAGAAATAAATGAAAACAGTCTGTATTTCCTGGCATAGAGGGAGCACTCTAAAATGACCTCCACCTTCAGTATCTCCCCCTCTAAAGTCCTGTTTGTTGGAGCCATGGTTACTCTTTGCAGAGTTTCCTCTCTGATAGAAGTCTCCACACAGTCTGCTTGTCTCCTGCTTGTTCTCCTTCTGCTCCTACTGTAAGGAGTAACTACATGTAACACACGCTTACTCTCGCACACACACACGCACTGTACCATCTGCAAGGCATTACAGTAAATTGCAGGAATAGAGAAAAGATTTCACGCATGTCCCGCAGGGTCCAGATGTGGCTCCTCAGTTTTACGCGTTTGGAGAAATAAAAAAAAAAGGAGTACAAGATATAAATCTTACCCTGTTGCACTTTATCCCACCTGTATGAGGCTCACAAAGTCGGTGCTTGAGCTCTAATATTTCTCAGTTTCTCGCCCTAATCTACCTCCTCACTCTCTACCTAAATAAACACAATCCTCTGCGTTCGTACCCCTGCACCAGAGCTGAGCTTATCCAGGTAAAAGTGAGCTGAAGTTATTTATCTTAGTCATTCAGCTTGTGAGTGTTGGACGATGAGGAGGACTGGCGTCTCCAGAGCTCAGGTGCCCAAGGACCCAACCTGGAAACTGGCAACTGTTTGTTATTTTTCCTGCAGGAGCACGTTGGGTGCTTACCGTAAGTAATACAGCCAACTGCTTGCATACATTTCTAAATAATCAATGTGTGCAGGAGCTGTATGTTGCCCCAACTGGCTGTCGGGTTTTAAGTAACAAATCGATGAGAAACTATGAAACTATGCACAATGATGTACTGAATCATTTCAAAACAGAAAAAAATGCTGCGTTTTAAGCACTGCAGCCTGTATTTATTTAATTTCACATACTTTATTAACACCTCAGGAAATGTCTTGTTTACATGCTTCTCATACACTTAGGCTTGAAATACACACATGCACAAACAGGACCTGTGGACATGCATTAGTGGACAGATGTCAGAGCTGCTGGGGGAACCTCTGCAGTTCTCTGGAAGTGCACTGGCACCTCTCCAGCTTCCAGACCATCTTCCATATTTTGGTCTGCACCGGGACTTGAACCAAATACCCTCCAGTTCCCAACTCAAGTCCCTAAAGACTACTTTAGCTACTGCTGCCCTTATAAACACATCTGTTTTTTCAAGAATGATCTTTTTGGATAAAAACTCTCAAAGTATAAAAAAAGGAAAAAGCTGAGCCTGATTAACTCAGGTGTACACAGTTTGATTTCCTTCCTGACTCTGCTTATTGGCTTCTGAGCCAAAGAGCTGCACTAACCAAACCCCTATGCAGGCAGAACATCACAGTAATTATAGAATATGAAGTCCCCTTCAATCACACTAATAGCCGGCCTGGTGGTGTCATCATTTACTACATCATTTCATCCACCACAAACAAGAGTTCTTAATTAATTATCTATTATTGATCTATTAATTAGGCTAATTCATTCAACTCATATCTAGATCCTTTTTGTAAATATGATACATAAAAGAAAAACACATTCCCAATTACACAGCTGTGGTGAAAATAACTATGAAATGTGGAAAAAAATGCATAAAGAACACTTGATTCAATTATCCAACATAACACAATGTACTGTGTTAGACTATTTCTTATCCAGTTTGAAGTCTTGATCGCTTCATTCTACAGTCAAATGACCAGAACATGCACGGCCCTCTCTTTGCCCGTTCCACATATTTGTACATAAAAGAGCTCGCTCAGTGTTGTAAATCACAGTCCAGTGGCTGTAACAGCATTACTGCGTGTGCCGTCAGCAGGTTGGGCTCCTGGTCAGCCTGGCTCAGTAAAAGATGGCGAGGCAGCACACAGCCTGCTCCATAACACTGCCCAGGGGAACCAGTAAAACTCTGGTTTGCTGCTGAGTCTACCGCAGACTGCTAACCGTTTAAAGCTAAAGGCATTTTGCCACATTGCACCAGGAGGAGCCGACTGCGATTACTTCTTCTTCTCCCTAGTCCCTGGACATCATTTCTACCCGCACATGTTCTTTTGTTGTTCTTTCTGCTATTATTGAATTTCTGCAGATATTTTTTATGTAAGGGTGCAAAGTTTAGCTTAAGTATGTCACCAACCAGCAGACATTCATCACTTGCTCCATTCCCCCTCCCTTATGAGACCCTAATCCAATTTGTATGAAGCTGCTCCACCCTCTCTTCATCTTCTCTGACCTCTGTTAGTCAGACGCTTTCTGTGAAGTTCAACATTTTATGGAGCTTGAATGAATCACTGCAGATATTAGTTTATGCATGGTTTATCATTTTGAATTCCTGGCACTATTGTGATTGGCACTCTTAAAAGATTATAAGTCAAATATACAAAGTTAGAGTTTAATTGTGGATAGAAATGATTGTAATGATAAGTCCATACCTTTTATCCACACATGGGATATATATTATTGTATAGTCCACACAGGGACAAAGAGAGAGAGGGGCTGAACGGACTCTTAGCAGACCTAACTCACATCCTATTAACTTAAAGTCTTAATGGTACGGACCAACTGCATGCGTTAAATTCACCTAGAGATGAGTATTCTCAATCAAACAGCTCCCCACAATCTTATAATAATAATAATAATAAATTAGATTTAAATAGCGGTTTTCTAAATACTCAAAGACGCTTCTTAAATCTTGATTTAAGTAATAGCATAACACAATCTTCTTTAAATACATGATTATAACATAAAGAAGGAGGAACGTGGGGTGCCAGTAGTGTAGTGGTGCGTGCAACCCATGTACAGAGGCTATAGTCCTCCAGGCAGGCAGCCCAGGTTCAAATCCCACCTGTGGATCATTTCCCGCTTGTCATACCTCTCTCTCTCTCTCTCTCTCTCTCTCTCTCTCCCTGATTTCCAACTCTATCGACTGTCCTATTACTACACTAAAGGCACAAAAAAAAAAAAAGGAAAATCTAAAAAAAAGGGGGAAAGCTGTGAAAAAGTAGTCCTGCCAGCCTGGATGTCGTGACATATCTCAGTCTGCTTTGCACGGCTTGCTATATCATGCTCTAGGTCCGGGGTTCCCAAACTTTTCAGCCTGCAACCCCCAAAACAACATTGCTAGACTAGCAACTGGGGACCCCCATTGTCCCTGGAAGTGGTTGAAACCTTTAATGTTGAGCACAGTCGGGCACACTTTCATTACGTCGCATGTCCCAGTAGTTCCCAAACATGTATTATTATTTTATTATTTTAGTATAAGACACGCCAGAAGAAAAACACCTGTAATCTCTTGAGCTACCTTTTTGTATATTTTCACAATAATGGATAAGATATGCTATATTTGAGTTTTGTATGTTTTTGGAAGGAATCTCATGACCCCCCCTCTCGCTGTCTCACGACCCCCCTGAGGGTCCCGAACCCCACTTTGTGAACCACTGCTCTAGGTTACAAATGTGTTAAGATAATTATACAGCGCTATGCTTTTGCACCTGAACACATCACCAGAATAAGGTTCAAAATAAATATGGCCACCTCGAAGATATTGCTGCACAAGCGCTTCACTTCATTTATATTTCCATGGTAACATAAGTAGACGTTCACAAACACGAGCACGTGTCTTGGTTTGAGGTGATTGTGTTTTATTGTTTACAACATGCCTGTGGGTTTTGAGTTGAAGGAAAACAAGGACCTGGTGAGTTCAGCAGAAAACAAACAAGAACAGTATCCCTGAAGGAGAGATACTAGGAAGAGAACTAGAGCATGTTTTTGTCAATTGTTCACCACAAAATGACTTTTCATTTACTCCCCACATATTCACTTTTGTCACAGTAACCAGCAGAACAACAAGCGAGCCTTCTCTTGAGACATTTCATTGTGTTTTATAGCTCCATAAAATCGATAGTCTCCATCAAATTTCTTAAAACAGCTTGTGAAGCTCATTCTGCAGCCAAATTTGGCCACTCATTTTCCCTAAAACATTTGTCATACTGTGCAATTTTTTTCCTCAACGACAAAGCTATGGTTCCCGTTTACTGGAAGAAGACGAGCTGCTGCTGTGGGGTGCAAAATAATTATTTC